ACATAATAATGGTGTGGAGAGGATGGCTAAAGGGGGAGAAGGGAGGCCATCAAAAAAAAAAAGTGTTCGGTTACAAAAAAGTGACTTTTGTCTTTGATAGTGTACAGTAAAAACTGCTTCTCCTCTAAATGTCATGCCTTTTTTTTTATTTTCAGACGACCTGAACAAGAAACACAACACAAAAGATGACCTGTGGTGTAGAAATGCCACAGCTATCATATTTTACTGTGCAGCTTCTCTTTGAGCAGTGCTTCTGTTCGTCCCCCCCCCCCTCCACCACCCCATTCGGCCCACTGTCTCTCTTTATCTTACTCCACCCCACCCCTCCCACCCCCCCTGCTCATCATCATCCCCTTGTCCCCACATGCACGTCTGCTGATGGATGAGCTCATTTGCTGCAAATCTCTTTGGAGTCAGAGCGGAACAGTGACGCTGCCTCTGCTTCTTCACAGAGACAGAAAAAGACAAAAAAAGAAAGAAAGAAGAAGAAGAGATCACAGCGTATGAAAACTGTCTGCGCACACATGGATGAACATCGAAAATGCATGTTTCTGTGTGAACGTGTTGAGAAATGACTTCTTTCACAAATGTTCTGCCGAGCGGCTCTCAGTGCAGCACTCAGGATGAACACAGAGCTGAAAAGAAGCTGTTAGGCTTGAATTTGTCTTAACGGCACCACAGAGGGCTGGATCAAAAGTATTGTAAATGCAATAACACAGAGCGGGAGATTAAAAAAAGTCGCCTTTTTTCTACTGCCTTGGTGATTTTAAATGCTCGCTCTCTAATAATAGAGACAAAGGTTTGCTTAAAATCGATTCAAGTGAACAAATCTCTTCCAGCGTGAAGATTAGTTACGGTTAGATCGACTCATGTTGGCCGCAATGATGGAAAAAAACAGGTTTTTAAAAAATATATTTTCATAGATGAACTGTTCTGATGAGCCAGACAGCTCGTTTCTTCAACTGAGCCGGCCTCACCATAACGATGATGAATGCAGTGTCCACCAGAAAAGAATGAGCCGTTTGACCCTTCACTCCCGGGTGCATTATCAGCTAACGTCCAATGGATCCAGGTTTGTTTGAAGCCTGGTGAATCAGTGTGACCGGCCCCTTGGAGCACTCCCATCAACACAGGTGACTGTAGTCATCTCACCAGTGGCCACGTCTCACTCCTAATCTGTTTCGTCAGTTAGATCAGAGACAGCATCTGCTGCACCGGTTACAAAAAGTTACCCGTTCTCTGAGATCCTCTTTAACTCGGATCAAAGAGACATTTTTCACAGAATAAATGAGTCATTTTGAAGTAGATTTATGTTTAAAAGTTCCAAACAATTAAAGGGTACTCCCTGCAAATTCATAAAGTCTAAAAAGAAAAAACGAAAAAAAAAAAAAAAAAGAAAAGAAAAGGCCGGTGCTGGCAAATGAGAGGAGACTATTCATTTGTGTTAGCATCTGAGAGGCTAGTGACTAGCATGGATAAGCTGGTGTTTGCACTGAAGAGGCTAGTGACTAGCATGGATAAGCTGGTAGCATTGAAGAGGCTAGCGACTAGCATGGATAAGCTGCTCCTACTTTACATTGGGCCTCATGCAAAAATTGTTCGTACGCACAGATTTGTTCTTAAGTTGTGCGTACGAGTGATTTAGGAGAATTTGTGACATTCACCAATGT